GGCGGTCTGCCCTGGCCGCAAAGCACCGTCCTTTCGCTGCAGGGGTGCGTGGGGACAGCTCCGGGGAAGGGGGGGGGAACGCTCGCATAGAGAGAAGGGGTGAAAGCTTGATTATTTTTGATTATTTTTTCCCCCACCCCAGGCCTCTCGACACAGCCCATCTGGCGCAAGCTGTGGGACGACGTGATGAAAACCAGGCCGCCCAACTCGGAGGTGAGGGGACACTGCCGGTGGGAGAAGGGGCACGACGCAGGCACCCCCGTTTCTGCCATCTTCTGCAAGGTTTCATTTCTAAGCCTGACGGTGCTGCTGGTGCTTGTTTGTAAGCGTTTGTAGAGCTCCGGACCAAGGCGTGACCGCGGTATCGTAATCATTTTGGGAATGGGATTCATAAAGGGAATTGTAGTGTACATACCACGATAGCGAGTGTGCTGAAAAAATAAATTCTGTCCTTAGAGATGTAATTCTTGGGGAAAAAGAGGATAAAAACAGTATCTTCCACCTACACTGGCAAAAAAATGTGCTGATGTCTTAGAAAGCGCTAGAAAAAGACTTATAGAAGAGTTTGGAAGAACGGTCTATGTAGCAAAACTGAAGCAGCTCCATTGATTCAGTATTGTAAAAGAATGGTTAACACACAACTTAATCACAGCCTATAAATAGACGCTCGGGAAGAAAATTCCTGATGATATGGTTTTTTAATCCGTGAAAACTTGGCTTAGCTTCGAACCACTGAATACGTTTAAATTGGTTAAGAAGCAAGATGAAGAGATAGCGATGAGAGTAATGGTTTTTGAACAAATACACTGAGGAAGGATGTTGAGAGCTAGGAAGGTAGTCTCACTTGTGCTAGCAGAAGGTTTTCTTGGACACTGCATTTACCACGTTAGCAGAGAGCAATAATTTAACTGAAAAAGAATGAGAAAAATCATGGCTGTCTTCTTGTTAACATGGTCCTGTTGAATAGGTTTTACCCTGGTTGACCTAAGGTAATTTAATTGCAGAATATAACCTGTTGGAGGAAGAAGTTCCTTGAAACGTTCTTCTCAAACGTTCTTCACGGTGTCTTGGATGTTTCCTCTGACTGGCGTCTCAACGACCATCACTTTTCGCCGCTGCTCCACAGCTCCCCACACGTTTCCCAGCTTACCCTCTGCAACATGCTGCAGGGTGCAGTGGAGCTCGCTGCTGAGCACAACCAGAAAGTGCTTGAAAATCTGGCAGGCTCCCTGCGGATCCTGAAGTTCCAGCACCTTCTCTCCTCTGACCAGTCCATCAGGCGTTCGCTGGTTTTACTTCTTCACCGGCTGATTCACCATGGCTCTGTCAGCCAAGTGTCCATGTATTCCTGGCCCGTTCCTGACACGGTTCTTCTCGTCCTCATTTTGAGCATGAGTGCTGGGTTTTGGCGCTTGGGAAATGCCCTCACGTATCACGGCAGCCTGTGTGGCCTTTGCAGAGGGGAGGACAAAGCCCAAAGCCAGGAGCCAGCACAAGAGCACGCAGAGAGGGGCCATTGCAATGAGAGGGAGCAGAGCGATGGCGAGAACCAGAAGGGATCCCCCAGGGCCCCGGAGGTGGGTGGGTGCAGGACTGATGCTCACCTGAACTCTGTCCTCTCTGGACCGAGAAGTCCTCCTCTGCGAAACCAAGCACGTGAGGAGGTGAGCTGCGAGGTGCCCTGTGACCACACCAGTATTCAGGGAGGATCTCATCGTTGGGTCTCAGACCAGCTGTCCCATCATCCCATTCTCCGAAAGACACGCAGACGGCTGAAATCTGCGGTAGGGAAGAAACGTCGCTGCCTCAGACGAAGCAGGAGACTGTATGCTGACCCAGAAGACCTGTATGATTTCGTTTTTACTGTTGCTAGAGAGGATAATTCAGGGTTATTCGACAAAAACAGTGCCCCAGAGGGAGAAAACGCTGAGAACTGGACTAGTTCCTCCCCAGGATCTGCGTGCGCTGGCCATGCTGGCTGTAAGAAAAGAGGAGGATCTGCTGGGATCTTTTCTCTGAAAGCTGCTCACCGCTTCCGAAGTGTGTCCACGCTGGAATTGTTCTCCATTCCTTTAACTGAGGAGACCTGTCGGATTCTGAGTAACCTGCTGAGCTCCTGGGTGTCTTTAGAAAACTTGGTTCTGTCTTACAACGGTTAGTGGTATGAACAGATTGGTTCCTTCCAGCCTTGGTCTAATGGTCTGACTTACTGCTCAGGTTTACCCTGATTTTATTTTTACTGGAATGGGCGTGTAAGAGTATTGGTACCTGATCTTGAGAACGGCATCAGTAGAGATGGTTAATGAGTGTGAGGACTTGTTCGAGGGAGAGAATGGGGTCCTTCTGCCCCAAAACAGCCCCTGGCCATGTGCTTAAATGCCATCCAGAGAGGGCAAAGGGAAGAGCCAGATCTCCATCTCCCGTATACACCGTCAGTGCCGTAGCTTAAGAACGTGTGGATAAAGCAGTCTGGGAGTTTAGCCTTTTGACTTGGGTTGCCTGGCCATTGGTGCAGCTCCAGCCGCGTGTGTGTTGGTGCCTTACCAGGCACAGCTAACGCCTTTTTGTACACATGCTGTTCCAGGCCTGGGCGCTAACATCATCTGCATCCTCTCGGGGCTCCGGGCCCTCTCCCGCCACTCAGACTGCCACCTCCGCGTGGTGCGCGTGAGCGACATCTTCTCCCACATGCCTTGCATGGAGCTTGTTCGCTGCATCCTAAGCGCCTTTCCCCAGCTCCACACGCTCTCAGTCAGCTTCGACCTCAAATGTCAGCTGGAAGGGAACAGGCCAGAGGGGAATCCAAGCTGCAGTGAGGCAGAAATCCCAGGTAGGAAACAGATTCTGAGCAATGACCAGGATGTGGCAGGCAGATAGAGCCGTAAAAGCTTGGCATGTAGATTTGAACTGTGCACTGTTACAGTGATGTGTAATTAAGCAATTAGAGCCTCACCTTCCTGATTTAGATGGTGTTACAGTTTGTCTTTTCCAGTATGTGACATGCTCTGTGGAGCCTGAGTCTTGGACAAAGCAATTTTCTTGCTTTATGCCAACCTGCTGCAACATCAGCTTTGTACAGGTCCAGTCATAACCTGCTAGCAGTGACTGGCCACGCAGCGTATACGAGGAGTGTATCCCTGTATCCCACCAGATCTGTACATTGGTTGGGAGTTTCTGCTTTGTCCTTCCTATTGACTGGGCAGCTCTAAGCCTTGGACAGACCCTTAAGCAGAAGAAAAGCATCTCTTGATCATCACAATACCACATGTGATGGCAAAGCACTGTCCAAGCCTCTGGATTACAGTCAGGGAGCTGTAGCAGTGTGTTCTCAGCTCATGGGTTTCTCATCACCCTTATTAGCCCCTGAATGACCAGAAAAGCAGTAAGCAAAGCCTGAGCACGTATGGAGTGGGTCAGTGAAGAGCTGTGCTCTGGGAAGACACTGACCGGTTTCTCAAGCATTGTTTCACTGCCAGAATGCAGTGGTGGCCCTGTGGCCTGGCAGGAGTCCTGAAAGGAGCCTTAAAGGATTTACGTTACCATAGGTCTGAGCTGCCATAGAGCTCTGTGAGGCAGGGTGTGTCACATACATAGGCACTTTCTACCAACCTAAATGATAGTCATGTCAGGCATGTGGACTTCTTGCTTGCTCTAGGACCTAGCTATGTTGAAGATGGGCACTCCGGACCAAGCTCTTTCATTGTTGTTTATTTTTCTTCCCTCAGATAGCTGCCTGGAGCAGCTGGAGATCCGATTCCCCAGGGAACCTCTGCACACCGCGTTCCTGCTGCCCGTGCTCAAGGCGTCAAAGTCCCTCCAGCAGTTGTCCCTTGACAGCGCCACACTGCCCTGTGCTCAGGAGCTCGGGCTCCTTTTGGAGGCACTCAAAGGTACTCTGCTGAGCTTTAGATAGCATCACCGTGACACACAGCATAGCTTCCTTGCTGCGATCTTCCATCCTTTAGCGTGAAGCCAGCTTAGGTGGGTCCATTTCTTCAGTGTGGACGTCCTTGTCTCCTGAGAAAAGAAAATGGGTGTCAGCCATCCCATTTTCTGTGCTGAGCATGTGAATGATGCTGCATAGCAGGATGGTTCCTTTTTAAGTACCCACAGTCCAGCTCAGTTTCTGGGCGTTAGCTGGTAGTTGGATCAGGGTCTTTTTATCCCAAGGACATACAGTACTTTACCCAAGAACTTGTTTTGCTTTTAGAGTATAATCCAAATTTGAAGAAAGTGAGCTTTCATGATGTGAACCTGGCTGAGCACCAGAAAGAAGTTCTGCTTTTGCTTCAGGATCCCATACTGCAAGGTACAGTAAACTCCTGGGTGCTGGTGCCTGGAAAGGTGCTACAGGTGGCTGCTTGTGGCTGGCTGACATTTAAGAGGTGATCTTCAGATGTGTGAGGTTTAATCAAATGTCACTGGGGCAGATCTATAGCTGTTGGCAGAGCGGGAACGTGTCTGGTTCTTTGTGCCAGCAGGGCAGAGAGAGGAGCAGCTGCAAAACTGGTTTGTGCTGCCAAGAAGAGTCCATATTCTTAGCTATGGAACAAAGGTTTTGAACCTGCAGAGCGCATTAGCCTTTAACTGGGTCAGCTGGCAAAGCCACTTCCCTGGGTGTGATCTGCGCTCTCTTCCCATGACGGATCGGTGGTACTGTTGTATGCAATCCACTGCTGGGGAAGCTTTCTTCTTGCATATGGATTAAGGACTGGAGCTGTCTGCAGGATGTAATTAGGGAATAATGAAGTGCCCAGGGAGTACTAACATACTGTCAATCCATTTCTTTCATAGAAATAACATTTTCCTTCTGCCGGCTGTTTGAAAGCTCTACTACTGAATTTTTGTCGGAAATAATCAATACAGTGAAAAGAAATTCATCTTTGAAGAGCCTCAAACTGCCTGGGAATCGCCTTGGTGCGTACTGTGAATGTTGCTGTGGGACCTTGACTTTAGACCAGCTCTCTTGGAGATAACTTGAGGGTTGGAGTTAGGACCTTTGCTAGCTGGTGACCTCTGTGCTGAAAACACAGGCATGAATAGAGTGGATTTAGCTCACAAAATAAGGAGCACCAAGTTCATTTTTTAATGGCAGAATTTCAGTTGAGTTCAGCAATGTACCAAGAGCCCAGGTGCTGCACGGTCATTGCGGTTGCTTTTCTCTGCAGCAAAAGCAAGTATCAGTGGGACTTCAGATTTGAGTGAACACTAATCTGCTCTAGACTCTTTAACAGGACTACATCCAGCAGCAGATGCGCTGCCTTTCATCAGGAGGCACAGGTTTCGCCCAAGTTTGGGCATTTTGTGCCTTGAAAGGTGTTGGCAGCCACTGGAGGGATGGGGATAAGTAAAGGAAGGGTTTGTGTCAAAGAAGTGGAACTGAATTTACAGAAATGATAGGCTTTTTGGATCACAGGCCAAGTAGAAATATCTGAGAAATTAATTTCAGGTAAATCCCAATTATTATTTTCTGGTCTTTTAAAGAAATGAAATGGGAAAGCTTGGGATCACCTGAAATACACCTAATTTCTGAGGTTTGAGTTGAACCCTGGTGCTTTTGGCCATTTTTAAAACAAAGCTGCATATTGACTTCTCAAACAAAACCAGGATTTTTCTAGTGAAACAAATTGCTCTGTCAGCAAATGTTTCCATTGCCTTGAACACTCTGCTCAGGGGGGCAAATTTGCTTTAGGCCACTGAGGGGGACAAACTGAGAGTGCAGAGATGAGCCCTTTGCGCTGCACGCGCCTGCTCACAGCCTCCTTTCTGCACTATTATCCCAGCCCTGTGGCCATCTAAATATTTAAGACAGTTCCCAGTTTGCATCTAACACCTGCATTTCTCCCCTCTTAGGGAATCACAGGCTGGTCGCCCTTGCGGATATTTTCTCTGAAGATTCCTCCTCTTCTCTTTGCCAGCTGGATGTCAGGTATTCTGCTGCTCTAAACACACCGAATTTCTTGTTTTGGGAGAGCTGGAGCTGAACTGGGTTCAGACAGCAGAAGAAGCCTGAACATGGTTTTGTTCCTTCCTCAAGGGAACACGTGCCCAAGAAAAGCTTAGAGAAACGCTGCAATGAGCCCATACAACCTCAGGGACCTCCAGCATCTCTGAGGCATCTTGCTGTCCCTTTTATAAATGAGTCAAGCTCCATCTTAAAAGCAGCTTTGGTTTGCTGCTCCCTTGGGAGGCTGCTGCAAGTTCCTCCTGTGCTGTAGGTTAGAACTAACATCCCTACATATATTTATTCTTAGGCATCAGTGTGAATAGCTCTGTTCCCACTGCTGTAGGAGAGAATGCTGTCATTGCCGGTCAGATCCCATGAATGCCTCTGCATTCCTTTTGTCTTTGGTCTTCAGCCTGAACTTCTGCTCTCTTCTTGAGCCTGAGTGGCCATAAAGATAGACAGTAACCTTCATGAAGCACATGGAGGGTGACGTTTCTGCAATACTAATGACTTTTTTGCTTGATTTCCCCCGCCCGCCTTCTTTACATCCTAATGGCTCACATTGCTGAGAATGCAGGCCTGACTATTTAACCATGGCCACTCCTTCAGCAGCCTTGAATCCTTACTGTTACTGTGCCTCTCACAGGATTAAGTCTAGCATGCAACTTCATATTTAGTTACACACCTGTGCAGGTGAAATGACCTTTTAATCCCCTAGAAACACCAGGATCTGACACATGCTCTTGAGACTTTCTCAGAAGGAAAAGAGAAATGATCACTTACTGCTGAGGCCTGCACTGGGACCTGTAGGTTGGGCCAGGCCCCTTGGTCCAGGCAGCTGACAGCTGTTACGAGACTGAAGTGCTCCTGGCACTGCTTAGCCAGCAGCTTGGGTCCAGCTACATTTTAAGGCCACAGCTAGGTCTACTTAAGTCAGTAGTAAGGAGGCCAGGATAACAAGCTTAGCTTGTCAGTAGTTACTACCTTAGTTTTAAAAAGCTTCCAGCCCTTCATAGTACTGTGCTTCAGTTTTGTTTTTCATCAAAACTGAAAGACCACTCACACTTTGTATTGCTGAAGAAAGTTGTACTTTGCATTGAAATATCCTCAAGTACCTGCACTGGTAGTTACTAGAAGGAACAGTAATTTAAACTGCTCAAATTATAGCAGAGACTCTTAATGACTTTTTTTTTTTTGTCCTCCTTTCCCTGGAAAGCTCAAATTGCATCAAACCCGATGGGCTCCTGGAGTTCACAAAGAAGCTGGAAGGCCATATCCAGCAGAGAGGGGGACAGATTCAATTCACGCACCTCCGCCTCTTCCAGAATTGGCTGGACCAGGATGCTGAAACAGCTCAAGAAGCACTTCGGCGTCTCAAAGCAGTGTGCAGTGTGGTCAACGACTCGTGGGACTCCTCCCAGGCCTTTGCTGACTACATCAGTGTTATGTAATGGATGCAGGAGAAAACTGATCAGCTGGAACCTAAGCAGTTCAGTCCCTGGCCAATGAGATTTATTTCATAGCACGGGTGGGTGTTTCTTCCCTGGTTCAAGCAGGGTACAGTTGTTCTCATCACTTTTCTATTCATTTGAAGAAGGGGTAAAACAGTGACATGACACACAAGACCGTGTGGGTCAACAGCTGTATTTCCAGGTGATCTAACTCTTACCATCTTCTCAGTTTGAATATTTTAAGTGGGACAGATACCAAATGAGCTTCAGTGACTTCCTGCAGATCTCTGAACAGGCAGGTATTTATTTCACTGTATGTTGTTACAAATTTCATGTTGTTTCAGCCAATGTCTCATCAATAACTATCTCCATTGTTGGAGAGACTCAGAAGCCACCTGGCTGCAGTCCTTGGCAACCAGCTGTAGGTGACCTTGCTTTTGAGCAAGGGCATTGGACAATATGACCTTGAGGTCCCTTCCAACTTCAACTATTCTGTGATCTGTGAAATAAAAACTCCTCCCTCCACTTAAAGGGAGTAGAAAACAAGCTAGAAAAGCCCCCATCCTTGACCTTCTACATTTAGAAAATTTTACTTTATACAAAAAAATAAAATCTTTGTGTACCAAGTAGTCTGCTGTTTATTTGCAATCATGTTGCGCCTCTCCAGTGTCTGCAGTCATTTTACAGAGGTTTGTTCTTTTGTAACATTTTTATAATAAAAATATAATTAAGACCCAGAATGTACTAAAGTGTAAATTTTATTACTGGCTTGTAATGTGACCTAATTAAAACACTGCTAGATCAGGGGATCCTGCCCATAACAAAGCAAGTGGTTTTAGAAATAAGAGTTACCTCAATAGAGCCTGATTTCCTACTGCCTGCATGATCTTTCAGGCCAGATGTTCAACATACAAACTGATTATTTTTTTTCCTTCAATAAATCCTCTTGGTCCTGAGTAATCAGCAAGGTTCACATTTCACAACAGAAATGGATCCTGCAAGTTTCTGATCAGCAGTTGTAAGCTAGAGCTGTCAAGGAAAAAAAAACTGAAATGACTCTGCACATCAAGTGCTATATAACTGCAGGCTTAACTTAAACCTGAAGGCAGAACTTGGCTGAGTAGAAGGCACAGACACTAATAGCACAAGAAGCAGTGCTGAATCTGATCAAGCACAGAAGGTCCAGTTATTTCCAGTTCACAAAGGGCAGTTTTTCAGGCACACAATACAACAGCAGAGAAAAAGCCATGGATTCCTTGCTGTTGCAGTAGACTGACCAGTGCTAAGGGCCTGCCAGCCTCTCCAAAACCACGCTGTTCTGCTGTACCACAGCCACGCAACAATCCAGCATATACTGCTCCCCACTGCCCCTTTCCTTGAAAGGGATTAAAGTGGGGTGGACTGCCACAGCAGCCTGTCCTTGCCCCCACAGGGGACAGTAACCTGTTAGGGAATCCCTCGCTGCTCCTCATGGGAGTGATGATGGAAAGTGAAGGTGACAGCAGCATCCCATGCAGCCTTCAGCACAGAATCCTGCAGCCCCCGCTTATCCGCACAGTGGTTCCACTGGGAGAGGTCAGAGGTGCAGTCAGACCCTTCAGGAGGGGGCCGTACCTGGTGGCCATTCACACAGCGACGACACTTGATCCTGGAACAGAGCCAGCACAAGGTCAGTGCAAGGCTCCTCCGCTTCTTTAGCATACAGGTGGTTTAAAAATGCAGCCCAGAAACATTTGGATTAACTCCCCTTCACCTGCAACGCTGGCAACTGGATTTTCAGACAGGATGAATTACTACCACCTTTAATTTGAACACACAACCACCTTCTGGCATGTATGACAGGAGGAATGACTCACATTTTGGAAACCCCAGGGTTCTGTTTCTAATGGCACTCCCCCTCCATGTTTAGCCATGTGGGAATGGTCCAGTGGGACCCAGAGGAAGTTCAGCACGAATTTGCCCTGAAAGGTGAGGGATGTTGCTTAGAGCAGATCTCGAGTGAACACCCTCACTGCTAACACATTCTTAGCACTGTGTCAGTCTTCTCGAGTTCAAGAGAGCACACCATGCTCCAAACCGCTCCATCCCAGCTCCCACCACCAGGTTGTGCTCAGGCTGTTCTGGAGATGCTTGCTGAGCTGCCACATAAGGAGCCAGAGAGCAGCAGCAGCCCTGCCAGCAAGGCTTGTTGCCATGCAGACCAGATACCTACAGAGCTAAGCTTTGAGTTAGCTTAAAACTAATCCTCTTCACTTCCTGCCTGAACTAAGAGACTTAACTATCACAGTGAAGCATTTTCCTGCACTCCTGGTCCTCCTTCTGGTGGCTGCAACATCACAAGTCTCAGGGTTGGGGGAGAAGGGCTGAGAATGGAGAAGAGGATTCTTTCAGTCCCCAAAATAGCACTTAGGCTGGCCTCATGTTTACTTAGCAGATAGAGCAGTCCTGGCAGAGGAAGCAGCTCAGCATTTGGAGGTCACAAACCACCAGGAAGAGAATAACAAGGAAGAACCAAGTTGGGCTCCACCAATTTGAACAGCTTTGATCATTTTCTCTCTTTTCACTAGGTGTAGTACTTCACAGCCTCCAGACACAGGCAGCAACAAGATAGTTTGCTCATCTGTCCAGCCAGCACAGCTTTTCCAAGACAACAAAAAGGGAGGACAGCAAGGAAGTGCTCATCTCCAGGTGGTTAACAGCTTTAGAAGCAGAGACACTTGAGGCCCTCCCTCTCTGAGCTTCTTCCTGCTGCCTGAGGAACCCCAGAAATCAGTAGACCAAACTGTAGAGGGTTTTTTTTTTTGCTGACCCCATCCATTAGTCATTCAGTATACTCACTTGTCATGGGTGTCACTGGTGGTGGTCTCATTCAATGTGAAGAGCTCCTTCAGCTCCCCAAGTGAGAAGTGCCTTTCTACATCCTGCTCTTCATCAACCACGCAGCTGCTGAGGGCCTTCTTGTGGGTCTGGCGTTGGAATATCTTCTCCTCTATGGTCCCTGTCTACAGGAGAGAGGGTCAGAGATGAAGCACAGTTGGGACACGTGTTAAAGGAGCACTACATCAGGAAAGTGTCACAGATCAACTGGCAGTAAGCTGTCAGGACCATTTAGTGCCTTGCCAGACCAGTACAGATGGCAGGCAGGTTTTACTAGCTGCATTCTAACCATGTCCTACTTGGTTGCTGATCTAACCCAATTCTGCTTCTCTTCTCTTTCACTGTGGCTAAAGGAGAGGATCCAGTGGAGATATGGATGAGGAAGAAGTACAGCTGCCGCTTGTGTCTGGAGCTCGCACATTGCACCAGGTTGTGCTGACAGGAAGGAAGGGAAAGGAGCTGAGCAGCTACAGCCACTCTCTCACAAAAAACCCCAAACACAACTTCCCCCAAATACAACAACAAGGGCAGCCCTAGGTGACACAAGCATCAGCAGTAATTTGCTGGTTCACCCACACACAGATCAATCACGCCTGCTGTCTGGAGGGAGATGACTACTTCTAGAACAGATGTGCAGAAAGCCCATCCATGGGCTACATTTTTAAGGCAACACTCTAAGAGAAAAATGCTTGGTTTGCAAACAAATGTAATACAAAGGAGGAGGGTGATTAGTCATGATTTGCAGACCGGTTTGCTAGTTCTGAAAGCAAAGGACCTTCCTGCTTCCAGGTGCAGCCAGGTCACAGAAAAAGTGGAACACCGTAAGGAAGAGATGGGCAAAGAATATCTGCTTTGTCAAAGTAAAATAATAATTGATCAAGGAGCACGAGCTTACAAAAAAAACCCACGGTCTGAACTAATGAGGTGAAGGTGAACAAGGGCAGAGTGGGGACATTTCTGAGCAGTAATCACTGGCACTTCTAGACAAGTAGCCTGAAAAGATCAGTCTCCTTCAGGCTTTTCCTTTGCAGAGCAGTTACCACACCTGCTAACTGGTAGCCCCATTCCAAAAGCTGCTGTAATTCTGGAAATGTACTTGCTGTTTATTAAGTACAAATAAACCCAACCAAACCAGACTTCAGCCAGACTGAAAAACCGCCACTTCAGCATCAGACATCCCACAAAATTAAAGAAGTCAGATGCCCAAATGACTTCAAAGGAGCATCTGATCTGGAAAGCTGCAGTTGTTTCTATTTCTCAGAAGCCAGTCACCATTAGAAACTAAGGCTTGAAGTAATGACCCTCTAGCTCAAACCTTCATGGTTTTCCATGGCAACACATCTAAGGGTAGGAAGCAATTAAGTTCCAATCAATTCTGGTCACTGACACAAAAGGGTTCTTCCCCCTCCGATCCCAATCACAGCAGCCGTAGTCTGGGCTGGTACCACGAACTCCATGTTGAGGAGGTGAGAGGAGTAAGACTCACCGAAAGTAGTCGATAGATGTAACATGTCTTCTTCTGGCCATCCCGCCACACGCGAGCCATGGCCTGCTCATCATTAGCTGGATTCCAGTCTGGGTCGAACATAACCAGTCTGTTAGCCCCGATCAAATTCAAACCACAGCCACCTGCTTTGCTGCTTAACATGAAGATAAACTCAGGGCTCTGTGGAAAAAAGCAGGCTCGGATTAAACTGCAGAGGCAGCCATACTTTTACTCACAGCATTCATAATTGGCAGCACAGCTGCTCACATCTGGCAGGTTCTACTTACCGAGGGGCTGTTGAATCGCTCCACAATCTTCGCTCTCTTTTTAATGGACATGGTGCCGTCCAGCCGGACATATAAATACCTAGAATATACAGCATTTGCTACAATCAGACTGCGACCTTTCCTACTTGAAAGAGAAAAATCTTTCACAAACAGCCTTCTAACGAGGGCCTGAGCTTTTCTGCTGAGTGACCCCAGTAGCCAAAGCACCAGCCACACTAAGTTTGAATTCAGGAACATCTGAGATAAATGACAGATCACAAGTTTCTGCTGATAGAAACTTCAGAAATAGCCAGTTCCTTCTACAGTGTAGGCTGTAAGTACAGTCTTGCAGGATTAAACAAATGAAGCCC